TCACCTCCTGCGCGGCCTAGGGGTTGGAGACCCCTGAACTAAAGGGAACATACCAGTTCAGTTCTTTGGTCGAATGGACCATCTTTCAAATGATCATTGGTCACCTGCAGCTAATGACTGCTGTGTTGGACAGTGCAGATCTAGAACATTTCCTTGAGTGAAGACAGTTCCACTGGGCAAGTGCTGCCCTAGAGAAGGTGGAGAGGTGACAAGTAAATTAACTGGATATTTTGAGATGGCAATCAGTGCTATGAAGAGAAATAACAATGGGATATGCTAAGGGGTTGGGGGGGAGGCGTGGGTGGGCAAAACTAGTTTAGAACTGGGCAAGAAGACAGCTTTGAGGAGCTGACATCTGAACTGAGAGCTGGATTGGGATGGGGGACCAGGTGAAGGTGTCATGAAGCCCTCTGGACGAGACACTTGGACACATTTGAGGAAAAGTAAGGTGGTGGCTATGGAAAGTCCCTTTTGGTGTAAAGGGCGTATGAACAGGGTTTGGAATACACCTGCGATGTTCCCATTGCATGTGGCATTGGGCAGGGCTCCTAGCTGCTTCCTGGGACTGTGGTGTGAAACCTAAGCCCTGGGGGCCTTCGTGAAATGCTAACACTGTTACCGATTTGAAGACTGACGACCATCCACACATTTAGCAGATCCTCCTCTGGGCCTGGCTTTGGGGATTCTGACACCTAAGACTCAGGTGGCAGCCTCAGCAGTCCAGTGGGGGAGCCACACTTAGAGACAGTGCATAAGGGTGCCCAGCAGAGCTGAGGAGTGAGTGATGGAACGAGGAGAAAGGACGGGGATCTGGGAGCACTTTGGACAAGGAGAAAAAGGGATGGGGGAGCAGAGGTGGCACCACTCCTGCCGTATCCCCCAGCGAGCCGGTGAGAAGTGGTTGTGGTTACTGTTGTACCCGCGGAGTGGGAGCCCTGTGGACCGGTTGGTCGCCATTCACTAGGAAACAGCACTAAGAGAGAGAGAGCTTACCCTGGAAGGGACGCAGTAGAGAAAAGGAACATGAGAGAAGACAGCAGCTCCCATCAGCCTTTGCTACACGCTGCACCTGACTGATCACTTAGGGCGAGGAAACCTCCAAAAGCCTGAGTTTGGAGAGAAATAGGGAGTTGCAGGTGAGTGGACTGCATGGCGCACACTGCCCTGGGGTCATTCAGCTGGTGCGTTGAAACACAGTACAGATGGTCCCCAGCTTACGATGGCTCAATTTAGGATTTTTCGACTTTACAGTGGTACTAGAGTGATATTCATTCAGTAGAAACCGTAGTCTGAATCTTGATCATTTCCGGGCTAGTGGCAAGGAGCCGCAGCTCCCAGTCAGGCATGTGATCATGAGGGTAAACAACTGATACTCTACAGGGTACCAGCGTTTTTTGGATGTTCCTTTTGTACTTTTGCATTTTATCATGCTTATAAAATGCCTATATGTCTCCTTCTGGTAAGGATTGGAAGGCAGCAAGCAACTCTTGAAAGAAACTGCTCAGCTGTGGGCTCGTGTTCTGAGCATGCTTAAGATAAGCCACACTCAGCTACGATGTTCAGTAGGTTAGGGGTATTAAAGCATTTTTTTAAATTATTTTTTTATCATTTTTTATTTTATTAAAGCATTTTTGACTTAGCATATTTTCAGCTCGTGGGTTTATGAGGTGTAAGTCGAAGGGCTTCTGTACTTGAAGCCTCAGGCAGGTAGGTGGATTAGTCTTAGGATGCCCCAGTGAGGTGAGGATCCAGCTCCACCCATGCTTGTGGCTAAACTTAAGGGTGTCCACCTTTTTTGGTAAGGATTATTTTAGAGGGCTTGGAAAGGTCCAAGGGGATGAGGGATTTAGAGCAGCAGTCCCCAACCTTTTTGGCATCAGAGACCGGCTGCTTCTATGAGAATCTAATGCCCGATCTGAGGTGGAGCTGAGGCAGTGATGCTGGCGCTGGAGAGCGGCTGCAAATACAGATGAAGCTTTGCCTTGCTTGTCGCCACTCACCGCCCTGGTGTGCGGCCTGGTTCCAAACAGGCCAAGACAAGTACCCGTCCATGTGGTTGGAGACCCCAGATTTAGAGGACTGAGGGGCCTAGAATGATACTTAACCACCAGCTTCTCGGTTTGTGGCCAATCTGATTTACTGCATAACACCCAGTAGGTGCTTTATAATTGCAAAGCCTACGCTGGCCTGAAGGGTCGCTACAGCAGGGAGAGCTCTCAGTACCATAATAAGGATTGGCAGAGTTTTTGACATCCAAACCCAGAAACAACAGAGTTAACATTTTTGAGTGAGCACTCAATTAAGATTTTGAGAAGAGCAGCCTGGTGCCCCCAAGGATAAGAGGAGGAAAGAAATACATGATCAAGATTAAAAGAGAAATAAGTAAATTAGAAACGGAGTGGGGCAGAGGAAGTGAAACAGAAAAGAACCTAACGTATTTTCATAAGGCAGAAAGCACTAAATAAAAATCCCTCTTGATGATTAACCAAGGAGTACAAAACGAAAGTTTTAGAATTAGAAAGCTGTGAAGCAATACGGAGAACTAAGATTGTTTTTAAGTGTCATGATTATTACTCAAAGTGGTGACTGTGGCCCGGCACAGAGCCGCTAGGGAGTCCCCACATAGCCCATATATCCGGGGCACTTGTACTAAATTCTGGGACTCTAGTACTAAATTCCTGTCCCTGGCTTCCCGAATGACCTCAGAGGGGTAAATTTCAAGAGTTAATAGCTTTAATTGAAAAAAAAAAATACATGAACTGCTTTCAAATCAAGAATCTGGACGGGTAAAAATAAACCCCGGAAGCCCTAAAGAACAGGAAGAGGATTAAATGTCGAAGGTAGCAGAAGATGAAACTATTTCAAAAGCTTATTTGGGGAAAGAGGTTGGAAATGGGAGATCAAACACCTGTAGTTATTCTTACCAAGGAAAAAGAATTATTTTAAACGCTGGAAAGGAGTGACGGGCGATGGCCGGTAATTACAAGCCTGGCTCAGGACCGGTTTTGCAACCGGCTGCGTCCAAGGCCAGCCTGGGGCGGCCCCACCCAGCCCTGGGCAAGTCCCGACCCTGACCTGACTCACTTCCCGGCTGCGTGCCAGCACCTGTTAGGTCTGTGCAAACGAGCAACCGAAACCACGAACGAGCCAAGTTTATGAGGACGTTTGAAGGAGGAAAGACAGGAAGCCCTATAAGAACCGGGAGAGAATGGGTGGGGGAGTGAAGTGGCGAAAATGGATTAGGAATCCGGTGTTCGCTGCTTTTGGGAGGAAGAGACCGCGCTCGCCCACCCTGTGGGGCCCAAAGAGAAACTTGCACACTCGCGAGGTGCGCGCGGAAGCTCCACCTGCGCCGATCCCGTTCCCGGCGCCATATGGGGGGTGAAGGCGGCCGGAGCACAGCCCAGCAACATGGCGGCGCCGGAAGTCCCCGCCGCGGAGGCTGCTGGGAGTTGTAGTGCACCGTCGCCCGCCATCGGACGCCCTTCTGGGCCTGCCGTGCGGTCTTCTGCGTTCAAAGGAACGGGGGCCCCGGAACCCTTGTCCGGTTTCGCCGAGGGCCTTACAGCACCGTTTGAAAATCGCGTGATGACAGCGATGGCAAATCTTGTGGGTTCCTCATAGACACCGAGAAACACGTACATACAGGCACTTCTTGGTCAGGCAACCGCTGCCCTTGAATTTTTCTATTTTTTTTTTTAAGGCAGCCGCTCTTTCTCCTCACTAATAATTATATTACCTGCCCTGAATATTCATTCTCCTGGTATCTCTACATGTCTTCATCTTCACATAGCTCCCTGACCATGAGTAGATTACCCTGGTGAAAGTCCAAAGTTCCTTGCAAAGATTTTGAGTTCATGCTGTGAGCTCCTTTTCAGGTGGAGTCGTGCTGTTTATACTCTGCAGGGGTGGAAGTGCAAATTTCCTCTGGATGTCAGCCATGACATTTGTTTTTATAAAATAAATCTAATTGGGAGTAAACCATAATCTGTGGTTATTTACGTTTTAAAATGGGTTCCCAGAGCATTCCCCCACATCGACAATTCTCAGACACCGGCAGGGTCTCATCTCAGTTGACGCCACCTACCCAGGCATAAGAGTCTACAGGTTAAGAGTTTAGTCCTATAAGACTGCGGCATCACGGATGGGCAGCTTCAAACACACGCGCACACACTCCTCAAGTGCCAGCCCAGGCTCTCAGTGCTTCTGACCAACTGCTTATAGATTAGAGGTTCCAACAACCCTCTTCTTGGGTTCAATTAATTTGCTAGAATAGCTCTCAGAACTTAGGGAAAAAAGTGTTATTTGCTAGATCATTGGTTTGCTGTAAAATTATTTAATTCAGGGACCCCCAGATGAAGAGGTACATGGGCTAAGGTATGTGGGAAGGGACGCGTAACTTCTTTGTCCTCTCTAGACACTCCATTCTTCCTGAATCTCCACATATTCACCAACTAGAAGCTCTCCTAACCTCACCCTCCAGGGGTTTTATAGAAGCATCATTACATAGGTATGATTGAGTAAATCCCCGGCCATTGGTGATTGATTCAATGTCCCCATCACATAGGTAGGCCAATTTTCTTTGTCCGTCCGTCATTTGATGGGCATTTGTTTCCCTTTTGTGGCTATTACAAATAATGCTTTTGTGAACATCCTCGTACCTAGATTTCGTGTTGGTACATGTATTCAGTTCTCCTGGATACATACTTAGGCGTGGAACTCTTGGTTCATAATATAAGTCTTATGTTTAACTTTTGAGGCGCTGCCGCATTCTCCGTTTCTGCCAGCAGTGGACGAAGGTTCCAGCTTCTCCACATCCTCACCAGCCCTTCTTTCCCCCTCTCTTTGATAACAGCCTGCCTGGTTCACATCACTGATGTCCCATTATGTGAAGTGGCATCTCACCGGGTTCTGATCCACACTTCCCAGGTGCCTGATGACGTCGAGCACCTTTTCGTGGGCTTATTGTTCATCTGTCTTGCTCTGCTTTTGACTCACAGGCTGTCCTGAGGCTCAGTTGGACCCTGAATTGGACACTCTTCCTGCTGGGGATCCCCTGACGAATATCACGGTCGTCGAAGTCCTCACACTGAACCAGGAGGTGGCTCGTTCCCGGAACGCCCAGATCCGGGCCCTCTATGCTGAAGATGAGGGCCTAAGCCCAGAGGTCCTCAGGGAGCCAAGTCAGCCGCTGGGCAGGTATCCGGCTGACCCCGAGGCCGCTCGCCAGAGGTTCCGGGGGTTCCGCTTAGAAGAGGCGGCGGGGCCCCGCGAGGCCCTGGCCCAGCTGCGTGAGCTGTGTCGCCAGTGGCTGCGGCCCGAGGCGCACTCCAAGGAGCAGGTGCTGGAGATGCTGGTGCTGGAGCAGTTCCTGGGTGCGCTGCCCGGGAAGCTCCGGGTATGGGTGCAGTCCCAGCACCCGGAGGACTGCCAGGAGGCTGTGGCACTGGTGGAGGACGTGACCTGGATGTCTGAGGAAGAAGGTGAGTGCAGTGGAAGGGCGGGGCAGGGTGACCCCTGCAGGGCATCTTGGAGGATGGGGAAGGGGTCATGGCCACGGCCACTCCAGCGCTGCCAAAGGCATCTGCCTCCCCGACACGTTCCTGAATCAGGGCTTGAGATGTTTCCAGCTGCCTGCCGTTGGCCCTCGATCAGGGGCTCTGAGAATGGCTTCGTTCCAGGACCCACCTGTGGAAATGGAAGGGCTCAGGCCCTACCTCAGAGCTACTGAAACCCTCTGGTGGGGCCCAGCACTGCACTCTGTAAGGAGCTCTCCATCCACAGGCTTCTAGGAAGCTAAAAGATACAGTGCTTCATATTCATCCCTTTGGGATCCATGCCACTGTGAGCCAATAGCAACCCTGCCTTCCGTCACACAAGCATATTCCTGGGGTGCCTTCTAATGTCACGCACTCGGCGGGGACTGCGGATAAACTGGTGACCAAGACATAGGACTCATGGATTCATGAGCTCAGCAAGGCTTCAGGAGAGACGGGAATCTGACAAAACGTGTGTGAGACAGTGGTGAGATTGAGAGGAACTCAGGCACGCTGGCAGTGGGGCCCGTGACGGCCACGTTGCTGTAACCGACACTTGGTATGGAGTGGGGTTCAAGAAGGAGCAGGAAGGATGTGCCAGGCAGGGAGCGGGGACCATCACCTGTGAAGGCCCAAGATGTGAGCAGTCAGGGTAAAGTCAAGAACCAGAGAGACTGAGTAGGTCTGCAGCAGAGGGGAGCAGAGAGCAGAGCTGGCAGGGCTCTTGGGGAGCGTCAGTCTAAAGGAGTGGGAACCGACCCCTGAGTTCTAGGAACAGGTTGAAGGATCTGGCTGAGCTTTAACGATTCATTGGGTTGCAACATGCTGTTGATGGTGGGCCAAGGACAGGGCAGGACTAAAAGTGGAAGGGCCAGGGAGCTGCAGCCACACCCACCGAGAGGAGCGGCTGCGGGTGGCGGGGGGGGGGGGCTGGGAG